GGCGAGACCTCATCTCTACCATAAATCAAAAAATTAGCCGGGCGTGGTAGTGCACGCCTGTAGTTCCAGCTACTTGGAAGGCTGAGAGGGAAGGATCGCCGGAGCCCAGGAGGTCGAGGCTGCGGTGGCCAGGAGCAGCAACTGCACTCCAGTCTGGGTGACTGAGTGAGACTCCAACTCAAAAAATAAAAAATATATAAATAAATAAATAAATAAAAAGACAAAATCACAGTTAAGTGATACACTGAGAATAATGCATTGCTCATAGTGGTCATTCAATAAAAGATAGCTATTCTCTATTATTAGGAAACAATTGAATGTCAGAAAGGTTCACTTAGAGTCAGTCAGCTCTTAAATCGAGATTAGAAGTCAGATCTCCAAGTTGTGTGCTAATGAATAAATCAGGCAGGATTTCAGTCCTTAAGGAACTCAGTCAAATATGGAGAAGAGATAGTAACAAATAACTAAAATGCAGTATGGTAGGTGAAATGCCAGAATTGTGTGCCAAGTACTGGAGTAACACTGAGATGAAATTAATTCTGCTTGGAGAGATAACAGGCAAATCACACTTCCTTCAGTACAGTGACTGGTTATTGCCCAATAAAAGCTATTGGGATTTTAGAAGTAAAATTTTAAAAAAGAAAAAAAGTCAGGCTTGGTGGCTCAGCCTGTAATCCCGTCCCTTGGGAGGCTGAGGTGAGTGGATTGCCTGAGCCAGTAGGTTCGAGACCCACCTGGGCAACTTGGTGAGACCTCATCTCTACGATAAATCAAAAAATTAGCCGGGTGTAGTAGCGCACGCCTGTAGTTCCAGCTACTTGGAAGGCTGAGGCGGAAGGATCGCCGGAGCCCAGCAAGTCGAGGCTGTGGTGGCCAGGAGCGGCCACTGCACCCCAGTCTGGGCGTCAGAGTGAGACTCCAACTATAAAAATAAAAATAAACAGGAAAAAAATAAACATCTATCAAGTGATTAGGTGAAGGGCCAGGTCAGGTCTTTTCTGGTGTATGGGTCCATCCGTCCTCCCAATAACACTGTGATCATTGGGCCCATTTCATGAATGAGGAACAAAGGCAGAAAATGCCTTATTAACATAAGGTCATACTATAACTGGTGGAATATCTCATTTAAATTCCTGTGCTATTGTTTCATAGGACTGTGACTATAGGTCTGCAAAAGGGCAGGTTAGCTAGACCAGAGAGTTTATTTCCTTGTCTAGTTCAGGTAAATGCAGTCTCATAATGTACAAATTTATCTTCGTGTTGAGCATTCATTCTGCGGAGTGGGGAAGATGAAGGGACAAAGAATAAAGAAGAGGACAATTAGTTTTTTATTTGAAGTTACAAAGATTCCCAAGACAACTAGAATATTTTAAAAGGTCAGAAATCTAGAAGCCAAAAGGGAGGTGAAATCAGCAATATTGATTTAAAGGCATCTTAGCAATATCCATGA